ACACTGAGGACCCGAGCCGTACGCAGGAATTTAAATTTGATCGCTGCTGGGAGTTGGGCTCATTATACACACATAATATGAATAAATCATATCCACACACATGCACATTCAACAGTATTACACTCGCCGAAATGACTGAGTATGTACGCATGAAGATAGTAATTGGTAGGGCTTGAGCCCGTGGTTGCCCCACCCCCATGCAAGCCACACCTGATGGCAAGATGAATACCTGCATTTCTCAAGAATATCACCATTGATTTAACATATATGAAAATGATATTGTGTTCGACTATTTGTTTAATGGACGTTTAATATATATTACGAATTTCCATCTATCAATAGAGGGCGCTAAATAGAACTTGCTCCGAAAGATTTGCATTTACTTTTGGATGATGTGAACATAATTTCTGATAAATTGCTTCCACAGGATATGCATGTATGTACACAATTATAAATGGTACATTGAATGTAAAATATGAAAGAGAGAGAGAAAAAACAACAAAGAAACGTGATAACACTAATAATAAATTTTTTCATAATGATACAGTTTAACTGCTTGTATACCTAGAATCTACAAGAAAATGAGGGAAGATTCATTATTCACTGAATTAGAATTTTATATTTAATATTAAAACAACTGTTTAATGTGACATTTTAATTAAATTTGAATATGAGTGGGCATAATGGAAAAATATATTTTATAGATATAGGTACATAAATGTATGTGACCAGGATGTGTGCTTTGGTTTACCCTTTTAATTAACCATTGCAGTTAGTAGCACACTAGTTATTAAACATGTAGTAAAAACTGTTGTGTATAATGACTTTGTTTAATGCAAAAGTTTATACATACCATAAATTTTGCAGATATGTTTCCAGCATGAAACAGGTTTTATTGCCTATTCAGGACTATAAATGTTTTACACATAGTACATTTCAATATTGTAAGTGAATGAATAACTGGGTCATGCTTCTAACTCTCATATGTTGTATTATAATAATAATGGGGGATTTTTAACTCATCGCATATAGGTGAACATGATACATTCTCACCTCATATGACATGGTATTACTTTAGTTGAAAAAATACCAGTATTTTTATTCTTTTTGTGTGTGTGTGTTTTGTACATCACTGGTTGACCCCATTACAGTAAGCTGACAGTGTGCAGTTTGTTAGATTTCATTGGAAAATATAATGTAGCTCTGATTTAAGCTGTAGATAATGTTTGAGTTATGAAAATTTATATATTAACCTGAATAATTGATCTAGAGTTAATCTTTTTGTTACTTTGTTGAAGCTTTGGTAAATCAGTTAGTCAACAGACGTGTATAAATGTTTTTAAACTTTGGATAAAATGGTAGTTAGTTTTCTTTGTTTCTTATTGAATATAACTTGTTACTTCTTTTATAAATGTAGTACATTTTATTCTTTTTCAGTGCTTTTAAGTATCAAGATGACTGTTGACTGCTGTGTGAAATGGGAAAGCCATTATGCTACTCTCATAAGTGCTTTTCATGAAATGTTTACTAAGGAACTTTTTGCGGATGTGACACTGTCATGTGAAGGTCATAAACTGAAAGCTCATAAAGTCATTCTTTCAGCGTGCAGTCCATTCTTCCAGGATTTACTGGAAGACAATAACTGTTCTCACCCTATTGTTGTATTTAATGGTCTAGACTTTCATCAGTTGAAAGCTGTTCTGAAATTTATGTATTATGGTGAGGTGAATATTGCCGAGAATGAACTTCCAGCTCTGCTTAAAACAGCAGAAATCTTGAAAATTAAGACAGTTTCTAGTAGTCACAGTAATCCTGAAAAGAGAGTACACTTTCCAGACTCAACCAAAACAAGTCAACAGTCGAGTGAAGATGAGAGGGCAAGAAGAATAAATGTTGTGATCAATGAAGATGAGGTGAGTTATTTTACTCACACATATACACTAGCTCTTAGCTTCAAGTATTGTCATAGATTGAGTGTTTGTTGAACAATGTAACATCAGTATAATTGTGTAGAAGCAAAACTTTCAACAGTCCTCCCTAAAAATATTGTGTGACTAATGAAAACCATTAAGTGGCTTCAACAGTGCAACTTTAGAGGAGCCTGACATCTGAGAGAAACTGCTACAACAATGTTTTTGTTACTGTTTAGGTATGGAGTCAAGTAGAAGGATATTACTAACAGCACAGCCAGAATCTAATTTTTATGAACATACAAAATAATAAATAAGACAAAAATGACTACTCAATTTATACAATAAATATCAAAATAATGGTATTGTAATCAAAATATAACAATGTTAGGTGTAATAAACATATGCATATGTTAAACATACTATGACATGTGTCTAACACAACTAATCCAACTTTAACTAACCTAATGTAACAACATACATAGATTAGGCAACAAACTAACCTAAAT